GTTTTTCTATAGGGAAAGAAATACTTCTTAAAGGAGCCAAAATCAGTCATATTTGAAGCTCACCCTGTCCTGTGAGTTAACAAAAAATTAGCAGCTATTATGCAGAGCAGGAACATTTCCTTCACAGCATCTGCTAACATGTAGCTAAGTCTAAACTTGATTTTTGCAACCAGTTCTCTGAAGAAGATACAGTATCAAATAAATCTGAGTCACATTCTCAAGGATGACTGGGAAAACAGCATCAGTGACTTTTGCTTCACGCCCGTTTAACACAGAAAACATTTTGTTCCATTATTGTCACTACAGTCTCTCTCGGGGATCGAAAAGTCTACATCCTTTCACCTCAGACAGAGCATTAAGGATTCCTCAGAGCTGAATGGGACTCTGCAGTTTCAACATGAGCAGGAAATAATCAGATGTTTTCAATAAAAACAGATAACAAAGTCACATCTCATTAACCTTGCACGGCTGCTACAAAATAAATATTTATTCACAAGAAGGGTTTAAAACAACAAGAAAAGAAAAAAAAAAAACAAGGTGGAAGGTTTTCAGGAAGATGTAAAACTAAATTGCTAACATAATACCTGTCCAGGGCTTATTGCAAAGCCAGCTCAGGCAGTGACTTTGCTTCTGCACCAGGTGAAGGCCACTGCACACCTGAGGAATAAACCTGAGGATTTATTCTGAACAGGAGGGAAGGTTAATACTTAAATCCTTTTGAATGACTGCTGTGTACAGTTGCATACACACCTCCCCTGCTCATTTCTCTGCATTCCTTCCAGCAAAGCCTCCATCACCAAATCCTGGTTGCTTCAGCAGCTAGGGGAGTACAGGAAAGCAGTGGTCACCCATGGCAATGCACGAACAAGGCTGCTTCTCCACCCAGCTGCAGAAAAAGCAGAAGCCCACAAAGCAAAGAAGTTAAAAAAATTACCATGAGCATGCAGTTACAGGTGAGGAAAACAATGGTCACCTTCACGAACTTGCAAGCCAAATATCTGCCAAATAAAGGAACTCCTTAAAAATTCCTCTTAAGTTATGTCTTAAATTATGAAAATAAGTTGAACAGCTTGACAGTAGCAGTACATCGTTTTAGTTAAAAATCACACCTTTTAAGTCACAAAAACATGTACGTGTGCACACACATAGAAATTTCACATATTGGTGAAGCAAGAAGGGTTCACATTAAAGGCAAAAACGGGGAATAAAAAGTTACCATGGAACCACAGTCAAAAAGCCAGAATTTATTTCAGTGGCTCCTCCATGAAACTGCAGCTCTCTAGCACAGAAATGGTTAAACTCATCCTGAGGACACAAACTTTGGTTTCACCCTGTGGAGGTATTAACACCATTTCCTCTTTCCAAAACCTATACACTGCCTCAAGTCTTGAAGATGGATCCTTCCAACATCTTCCTCAAAGACTAATATGGCATCATTTAGCAATCAACAAAAGGGGAGCAAGGGAGACTTTAGAAATGTAGGCTCAGCTCTGTTTTCAGTTCCCTAAGAAGCTTCTGTCCTCTTCTAGAGCACTTCAAACACCATCCAGGGATTAAAGCCTGCCCTTGGGAGTTCTGCTGTGTTTTAAATCACACTCATACAGAAAATAGACAGGAAAAAAATCCTATCCCTATTCTGATAATGTTTTGTCTCTCTTTGGTCCTGTCTGTGCTTAACAAAACTCCATCAGTATGCACAACACCTTCATGGTACTGCTGAGGGCAGGGTGCTGAGGAGAGCAGATGAGCACATCCCCTGAGCTGCTGACAGCATTCCAAGAGTTCTCCAGGTGGCAACAGCAGACATCAAACAGTAGCAGCTCTTCTCAACAATTCTAATCACACCTACACAGAATCAATTTTCAGTGGGCAGAGACATGAGGAGAGAGACAGCATAGAATTCTAGAACAGTTTGGGTTGGAAGGGACCTTAAAAATCATCTTATTCCATTCCCTGCCATGGGCAGGGATATCTTCCACTAGACCAGGTTGCTCCAAGCCCTATCCAACCTGGCCTTGAACAATTCCAGGGATGGAGCAACCACAGCTTCTCTGGGCAACCTGTGCCAGGGCCTCAGTACCCTCAAAGGGAAGAATTCCTTCCTAATATCCAATCTAGCCCTGTCCTACCACGACATGCCCTTGCTTCTGTCATCCCTTAAGCAGGGCCCCCACAGTACACCTGAATGTGCCAGCTTTGCATACCTGCCACCTCACCCACGTTTTGGGGGAAAGCCTTAAAATCAGACATCTCTACCCTGGTTTATGCTTCATCAGGTTCATTGTTTAGTATTAAATTTTGGTCTCTCGAGCTTGCAAGTCGCATAGTGCCACTGCAGAGGCCCAGAGAAGTTGCCTTTAGTCACAGCAAATCACAGGCACCTGAAGTAAAGACCCCCACAGCTACCACAAGAGAGGACAATCTCCCTCATTAACTACAGCTGAAGCAAGGACAGCTCGCTGATCACTTCTGAAAAAGTGAAGAAAATGGAAATATTTGGAAAAAAACCAAACCAACAAACAAACAAAAAAACACCCCAAAATATTTAAAAATAAACAAGGCTTATCACCCCAACTCGATAGAGAACTGTTGTAGAGTCAAGTGGAGAAAACCAGACAATACACAGGAGGACTTTAAAGAATAGTGCCCATAAGGAAAGACTGGGAATACTTTGTATTTAAAAACATAGAAAGATGCAATTTCGAAGTGTTGCTGGAAATGTGCTTACAATGAACAGAAAAGCAGCAATAACCTCCCAAAAGCACCACCACAGACGTGCCAGGGGGCTGGAATGCCACCTGCGGCAGGAGCCCGGTGCACACCACCCGTCGCCGGGGGAAGAATCACAGAATCAGGTTGGAAAAGACCTCCAGGATCGTCGAGTCCAAGCTATGACCGAACACCACTTTGTCCCCCAGCCCAGAGCACCGAGTGCCACGTCCAGTCCTTCCTTAAACACGTCCAGGGGTGGGGATTCCTCCACCTCCCCGGGCAGCCCCTTCCAATGCTGGACAGCCCTTCCCGTGAAGAATTTCTTCCCAATGCCCGACCTCAACCTCCCCTGGCGCAGCTAAAGCCTGTGAGGTGACTGCAGGAGTGACCGAGGCCAGCGTGCCCGGGCAGTGCCGCCGGCCCCGGCAGAGCATTCCCTATTCCCGCTGCGCTCCCGCTCCTCCCCAGCAGGAGCCTCCCCGCTCTCCGCCCATTCACGGTGTTTACCCCGCACCCGCCGCGGCAAGTTTCGCTGCCCGGGGCCCTTCCAGCGCCGCTCCCCTCGCCTCCCTCCCCGCAAACACCCCGCACCCGCCGGCCTTCTCTCCCTTCCTTCCCTCCCTTTCCTCCCTCCTTCCCTTCTCCCGCCTTTCCCCACCTAACGCGGGCCCGGCCCGGCCCGGCAGCACTGCGCCTGCGCGGGAGCCGCGCCTGCGCACGGCAGGGCCCGGACACGGGCAGGGTACGGCGGGATGGGGACTCTGCGGGGACATGGGGGGACATCGCGGGGAATACCGGGGGGACACACGGGGGGTATATGGGAGGGCACGGGGGGGGACATTGGGGGACATTGAGGGGGTTACCGGGGGGATCATGGGGTTAGGGTCTGCGGGGACGGACACTGGAGGGGGCACCACGGGGGAATGTTCGGGGGGGTACCGAGGGGACCGCGGGGGGACACCGGGAGAACATTGCGGGGTCATTCGGGGCGGTACTGAAGGTACCACGGAGGGGACACCGGAGAGGGACACAGTGGGGATACGGGGCACACGGGGCTGTGTCGGCCGGGAGCAGCGCGGATCGCACGGCCCCGGGGCTGGGACCGCTCAGCCCGGCGCCCATCGCCGCCCCCGTGCGGCGGGGTGTATTTAAATAAATACCTGTAGTCACCTACCCTGGTCTGGTGTAAAATAAATACCTGTAGTCACCTACCCCGGCACGATCGAGCCGCAGGGTCACACCGGGGCGAGTCCCTGACGTGACACTTCAGGGAGGGCAGAGTACAGTGAGACACCCCGGAGGGATTCTTGTAGCCGGGGGTGAAAGATAGGTCTTGTTTTTCTTCTGTTTCACCAGTTTCCTGGACTTCAGGTTCGGGCAGGATTCTGGGTGCCGTGAAATCCTTTGTTGTGACTCTCGTAGACTCGTGAAGCCCACTCGTGAAGCCCACACTCGTGAGGCACAGCACTGCTCAGGGCAGCAAAGGGCTCTTGGCAGAGTTACAGGGGTGCTCAAACTCACTCAAAGTAGGCTTCTAGTCAGTAGATATAAACACGTGTAAATATCATTAATAAAAACCTGCTGCTTTTATGTATCCATCTCTGATGCATATCAATCTGCAAATCACTTTAATAGTGTTCTTTTCAGGTGAAGTAGTTCTTCTGTGGTTATAACCCCTTTTTGAGTGGATTAGGAAAATCAAGTTTAATCTTAACAATTTAATCTTAACAGGAATTAGATCCAAACTAGAGCAAGCTCAGAGTCCGAACTGCAGCTCCTTGGCTGGGGATGTTGTTGGGAACAGCATCTGCTTTGTGTCACAGGTTTAGCTGCACTCACCTGCTGTGAGGATGGACAGCGAGGTGCAGAGGGATGGCAGGATCCTGGATTTGATCGATGACGCGTGGAGGGAAGATAAATTGCCCTACGAGGACGTGGCTATCCCTCTGGTAGGTGAATTGCTGCTTATCAATCTGAGTTAAGGCTGCTGTGTTTATCTCAGCCCCTTCCAAGAAACAGCACAGGGTATTGCTTGTGGTGCAGCTGATTTGTACAAAGGGCTCCTGGGATGGATCTGACTCTTTCCTTGCCATATATGCCAGTCACTCCTGTGTGCATGAGGACTTGGATGTTTCTGTCCCCCTTGCCCTGACCAGTTATTGAATCTTCTCAGAACTGGAGTGCCCTCCCCTTCACACCGTTTTGGGTTTGGCATCAGGGAGAAGTTCTGGTTTGGAGAACAGAGATGATCAGTCTCACGCTGACAGCTGCAGTCTTGGTTACACTTTATTTCCACTTCCTGAAATTCCATTAAAAGAAGCTGAAAAATTTTCGTACCTGTTTCCAGTCAGTCTTTTCCAGATCCAGCATTGCTGTTGGCAGTTCAAGGACAGCAGTGAATGCACTGGCACCTGCAGTGCCATGTCCAAGGCATGGCAGCTGTCCTTTCATCCAGGGCACAGCTGCAGGGTGGGAGAGGGGCAATGGGGGAAAAGCTACTGCTGATCCCACAAAGCCCAGAGTTGAAGCTTCAGATCTCCCACTCTGAAACCTTTGCTTAGCTACTTTGAAACTTCCAGGGAAGCAGGAGGTAGCTGAGGATTTTCCCTTTCCTTGTTCTCTCTGGTGCACAAGCTTTACCCTGGCTAGCACTGACAAGGCAGTTGTGGGGATCATGGGGTGTTGGTCTCCTTCAGCATAGACACATTTCCAAATTGTGACGTGGCTCAAGCTTTAGCCTTTCCACCACTGGCTTTTCAGAGAGGACAAGGAGCAGCTGCACAACCCCAAAATCCATATATACAGCACACACGTTTTTCTGCCAAGAGCTGGGTTTGAGGGAGGGATCTTGCAGAACTGTAATTGTCAGATAAAAGAGCCCAAACCCCCTATTGCTTGGGATAACATTTATAAGGCAGGCTGAGTATTATAAACTGGTTCCTTACTGACATTTGCCTTTACCTTGAGTCCAAACATTACTGTTTCTTCCCTTACAGCCACCTCTTGGGCTACTTACAGTCACATACAGATGGCAGCCCCAGAGCAGGAAGCCTCACCAACTAACAATAGAAAGAAAGGCCTGGCTGTGGATATAAAGATTCCCAGAGATGAGATTGCCTCTGATCACATGGGAAAAGTAGCACGAATTCACAGGAGACTTACTCAGGAGCACTGTACAGGAGCAAACAGAATGGCTGTGAAGTGCTCTTTGAGCCTGTCCTGAGCATTTGCTCCAGTGCCCACTTGAGAGATTCCTGGGAACTCAAATGGGCTCAAATCATACACTGTTTTCAAAACTGAAACGTTTTAGTTACCTCATGCTGGGATTTCCAGAGATCTAGAACTCAGAATTCCTGCCCAAATGGTATCTGGCAGAATAGCATTCACTGTGACAGCAGCAGTACAGCAACACAGAGAACAAATAATAGAAGAGAGTTCTGACTTCTACTGTTGCTCCAGCACAGCCACACCTGAGTCCAACACATAGAGAGGAAGGATTTCTCACCTGCCATGGGAATGAAACATGTTACAGAACCAGTTGTCTTAATAACAGCTATAATAACTGCAGTATCTGTATTCTTGCCAACAGCAGAAGCAGCACATTGCAAACAAGCAGTGGAATAATTGCATTGCACTGTTATTTACTTACTTTGCATTTGCTATATATTCTCCTTCGCTGTGTGTGCAGTCTGAGTGTATAGCAAGGCCCCAGGGTCCTGGAAAACCAATTTACCTTTCAGATTAAGCACCATATTCATGTGAAAAGAATATTGTTCATAACGGGGCCCAGTAATATTTTTAAGTGGATCAGTATGTATGATATTTATTGTTCAGATGCACCCTCTGGTCTCGTTTCTATTTATCCATACAAAGCCTTAACAACCTGCTGCTTTCAGGAAGTATATTTTGTGTGGAATGCATTGTACCTCTATTTTGTTCTCAGAATGAGCTCCCTGAACCAGAGCAAGACAACGGTGGCACCACCGAGTCTGTGAAAGAGCAAGAAATGAAGTGGACAGATTTGGCTCTCCAGTATCTCCATGAAAACGTTCCACCCACGGGAAACTAGTGAATCAGTGAGATTTCATGCAGCAGATGCATGAATGCCACATGAAAATATTTTTCAGCTGACCACTGGTTGTCAGAAGCTGCTCTAAGGAAGAAACAGCATTCCTGAAACATTTGGATTCCAGCAGTGGTTCTGCTCACAGCGACCAGTTTAAAATGCTTCTGTAATGAGTGTGAAATAGCAGAGGCTCTCTGACACCCAGAGCTAAGAGCAGAATGTTTCACTTATTTATTTCAATTTTTCTGTTAAATTTTTCTGAAGTTGGTGCCAATTCTGATCTTCAGTGTTTTCTACACTTGATTAAAAAGTAGTTTTTACTGTCTCGAGTTGTTAGTGATTTCAAAGCTCACAATGGGATCGTTGTCTGGAGTTCAGTGCAGAAACCCAAATAGCTGTGAGTTGTTACCATCTTCCACTAGTGTGTGGCTGAGGAAGGATGTGTGGGGCAGGTGTGAAAGGTTGGTCAACAGATCCAAGAGCTGGAAGTAACCTGTAAACACAGGTGGTTACTTGAACTCCTCATCTCAGGATCTGATGGTGGAGGTGGAGAGCATGTCCTGTGCTGACCTCCTGGGAATGTTTGCCAACACACACACCATGAACAGACAGTCTAATTTATGCTAAAATGGTGGTTACTCAAAATCATGGTCTTTAGAGGGATGATTGAGAGTTCCAAGGAAGGGCCTGCCAGTCCCAGGGTATTGCCAGTCCCAACCTATTGAAATGAGAGGCACCTGGATGAGCTACCTCAGAAGGGAAACAGAAATCCAAGGAAAGAAACAAGTATAGCTTAGCTTCAGGCAATAAGTTGTTACCTCTTTTTGTGCTGAGAAGAAAGGCAAGGCCCTCTTGATTTATCCCATTTTATCTCTGATTCACAGATGTCCTTTGCAACAGGTAAAAGCCTTCTGTTCCTCTTCGTGTTTCACTGTTGGACTGATTCTGTCTCACCATTGGCAGAACTTCTTGCTAAGGAGAAAATATTTTGACAGAGTTTAGGATTACTGGTGGGGGTGAGAAAGGAACTGGAAGGAAAACAATGTTTAAATTATATTCTTTTGCCAGTGCAGCAGAAAAAGCACTGTCCTGGACTTCCAGACTCCACAGAAGTTTCTGAGTGTCTTTTCTCAGTGTTTATCCTCTCCAAAATAACAAACCCCAGCTTTTGCCTGGGTGATCCGTGCCTGCACCAGACAAGCAGCACACACTTGTCTGAACAGGAAGGAGCTGCAGACAGGCAGCAGGAAGAGTTAAGGATTAACCCAAGAATTAGCAAAGTCAAAAAGCTTAGTTTGCACAGCATGGACCAAAGAACCAGCTATGCAGCTGGGAGCTGTAATAGCTCAGCTCCTCGTTGGATCATCACCGGGAGGAAAAAGCAGAGCCTTTGCTTAATGAGGGAGTTCTGATCCTCCCCAGGTTCCCTTTCCCTCGCCTACAGTTAGAAGAATTTGCTAAGAAAACGTCAGGCAAAGCTACCACCCAGTTTCTATCCAGCAGCCATCCCTGCTCTCTCTTCCCTTCCTCTCTCACCCTTTTTCAAGCCCCCAACCACCCTTTTCTTCCCAATTTTGCCACTATATCTTCCAGCTTCAATGTCAGACTTCCTTTCCTGCCCCTGGCAGTTGTCTTTGCTTAGCTATCTTCTGCCTCCCATCCATCAAGGAAAGAAAAAGCCCTTCTTACTTGAATTAGAGCTGAATTCATGATGTTCCAGCAGGTCTTTGAGAAAATGTGGTGGGAATGCCAGTTGTATGAGTGTCATCCAAGGCAGCAGATGCTTGGGAGCCCAATGGAGAGCCAGACTGCCCCAAGTACCTTCCCTTTGTCACACATAGTGCCGTGCACCTGCCTCCTGCCTGAGGGGACAGGGCTTTGTGGGTTAGAAGGGACTCCAGAGAGCAGGAGGAACATGGGAGATTAGGGATCATCATGAACTTTCCAAAGGCAGGGCCCTGGGAAACCAAGCACTGGCCCTGCCCAGATGCTTATCAGACTTGCAGTGACACCTACAATCCTCTTGACATTCTCTGCAAAAGAGAATAAGGCAATAATTTCCTTAGTTTCAACACAGTGTAGTCAAATTGCTGCTTACAGCGTGATACCAACCCATTTGTGTCTTTGATTAGTCATCTCCCAGGGCAAACTATGTCTAAATTAAGGAAACCTGTTAGAATAGAAAGTGCCCCACCTTTTTAAGAAGAAGCTTCAGTTGTATAACTAAAGACTGGTCTTCATTTCTTGGCTGGTAACTTCCTGCTTTCACCACACCTACTGGGACAGGCAGAAAAAAAAAAGGGAGCAAGTTGCTGTCAGAGCCAGCAGACACATGCCAAAGAAACTGTGGGGTCCTTAAGGTCTCTTACCCATAGAAGCTCCATGTGGAAGTCCATATGCTGAGGCTGTGTGTTGTGTTCATCTACCTTTTGCACGGGGTGAAAACAGGTAAGAAACCAACCATTTGTTTTGAATGTTTTTTGTCAGATATAACACACTGTGCTTTACAGAAACATGACTGTGTCTGCCCTCTGCATTACAGTTACTGTGTAGGGTTTCTCACTAACATAATTTATTTCGGCAAAGCAAATTATACTGGTTACATGGATGGAGTCAGTTCTAAGAGTTCCAAATGTAAAACCAGAAGTATTTTTTTTATTATCTTTTCCTCCCTTTGCAAACATTTCTCTTATATAAGTACTATCCATCTGCACTGAAAATCTCATTGGAAATCTTCAGAGAAAAATGATTTCTTTTCAGGGGTGTCGTGTACGACAGGGGCGAAGGATGAATTACCATTTATGAACAGTAAGCTCCATTTGATATCCTCACAGCCCTACAAGAATCAACCTGTGTAACAATAAACAAATGTACTGCCTTGTGTTAGCATACACATGGGAGCCAGTCAAGTTACAGCTCTCTGCTTTGTAGGGAAAACAAACAGGATTAAAAAAACCAGTATTCTTATAAATACTAACTTGTATTTCATCGGGTCCTCTGGAGTAATCTCGGGGTCACGTTTTGCTTAGTTTGTTTAATGCGCTGCAGGAAATGTACTCACAAGAAGTGGGGAAAAAGAGTTATGTGAAAAGGCAGGAGGAAACCAGGGAGCTATTGAGGACCAGTTTAAGAGGTGGAGGGCACACTGTCTGTGGAGAAGTGATGGAAATCTTCACCAACACTCCTGAGATTCACGTCATGGTTGTGAATGCTGAAAGGGGAGAGTTACTGTCGATGGTTAAGAGCAGTCTGTTGAAACACACTGTACAGAGCCCAGGCAAGGTGGCACAGTGCCAGAGAACCTGCAGACAGACAGAGAAGCACCTCTGTGACCCAAGGGCCACAGCTGGGACAAGTGACCACTGACCCACTGATGTGAAAAAACTGTTGGAAATTCCCTTTGCAAGAGGACAGACTAGTGGAGGTAAAAAAAACTTGGCTGCTATTCTATTCATGCAGCCAGCTCAGGACCACAGCCCCAACACCACCGTGGCAAACCCTGCCTGTCCATAGGATCAGCATCCAGGAGAGACAGAATAAAAAGCCTCCAAACACCATCTCCAAGAAAGGAATGAGAGAGACCAGGGGAATGCAGACCTTGATAGCACTGCCTGGGACTGTTCTTGTGACCACAGTACTCCCACCTGGGAGTATGTAACTTCAGAACATACATATTCAAACTGAAAGAGAGTCTGTTTAGATAACATATTTAGAAGAACTTCTTCCCTGTGAGGGTGGGCAGGCCCTGGCACAGGGCCCAGAGAAGCTGTGGCTGCCCCAGCCCTGGAAGTGTCCAAGGCCAGGTTGGACGGGGCTTGGAGCAACCTGGGCTAGTGGAAGGTGTCCCTGCCCATGGCAGGGGGTGGCACTGGATGGGCTTTGAGGTCCCTTCCAACTCAAACCATTCTATGATTCTATCATGATATATACTTACATATGTAAGTTCAGAACCAGGTTATTTTGAAGGTGCCTCTCCTGCTGCAATAGCACCTTGGAGGCTGATCTCAAGCTCAAGACCAAAGATGTCCAGCTCCCAGGCAGGGACACGGATTTCACACATTTTTATGCCCCCTGCTACAGGTGCTGGAACCTCAGAGCACCTTGCCCAGCAGACAAGTGTTTTGCCCCTGTTTTACATATCAGAAAACTGAGCAGGAGAATTTGAATTGCCAGAGTCTGTCTAGCAAGCTAATGGCCAAGGCAGGGCTGGGGGTGAGCTAATGGCATGCTGGGTTAATTGCCACATTCATTCACCTTTCCTGGAGGGAAAGTTAAGTTAGTTAAGTACAGTGCCAGGGTGTAACTTTCCACCTCACTTATTTGTTTGCAGACTTAATCTCAATAAACCACTTACCCCAATCATCTGGGAGTTTCAAAGACACTTCCAGCCATTTGGGTAGGAGTCACTGTGCTCACGGGAAGGAAGAGCAAAGCCAGGATAACTGGCCATCCTGATGTGTCAGGATGAGGCTGAGATGGGCACCATCCTGCCAGAAGAGAAGCCAGCAGGTTTTCTTCCCCCTGTAATAATATTATATATTATAATCCTCATCTGATTTTAATAATCAAACCAGAATCAATTCGTGTCAGGTATCAGCAAATGCTGACCAGCTCTTTGAAAGCTCCTCTGTACCAGGAGGTTTAGGCTATTCTGATGACAAACACACTGCTCCTCTGGGCAAGTCTCAGCACAGGGCAGGAGATACAGACACAAATTAAGCAATCAGTGCAATCTTGCACCATATAGAAATAATTCTTGCCTGGCATTTCTGCCTCTATTACTACAGCTTCAGTGGCAGTAAAGATGATAAACAACACCATATAATACTGCTATACAATAACTAAAACAATGCCTAGTTATTAGTAAAACCAAGATAGTTGTATTTTTTTATGCTGCAGTAGCACCTAGAGGACAGTTGCTGAGTCTCACTGTGTGAGCTGGCGTAGATCAGCAGAAATGTGAGCTTTCCTCTGCCATTCCTCTGAGATCTCCACAACAGCAGTGCCACAGGAGAACTCCTGCTGCTCTTTCACCGGAGCTTCTTGGCACTGTAAGAATGGCTGGCCAGGAGACAGCTGAGGGCTCATTTCCCACCACTCCTGTCCCACTGTTCATATGGTACCACAGGCTTTACACAGTGAGGACTCCATGGATTTCAGATGTTAAAATTTATGGTAGCAATTTAAAATATTCAGTTGGATTTAACTGCAACATCCTTTTAGCCTATTAACTTTTATTTCTGGAGCTCCTGGGGCTTCTACAGGGTAATTAGCAGAACTATGGCAACTGAGCAGATTGTTTTATGTGCTGGGCACATAGTATTTATATCACTCTCATGCTCCTGCTTTCCAAAGGAGGAGAGAAGGGAAAGTGGCTCATAGAAACTGTGAGAGTTTCATCATATAGAAGTTAAAATGCACAGAGCATTGGAGATTTATTAGAGCACAATTAGGTTACAGCTGCAGGTTTTCTAAACTCTTCTACCCACTGCACAGCCTTTTAAGCAACAAAGATCAGGAAGATTCCTCTAGGAATTGCAGCCTGAAAAATTGCTGCAGCCCAGGGTATATGTGTGAGAGAGACACTCTCCCCCACAAGGGTCTTCAATAAGATTAAAAGGATTTGGGGGAAAGGACTGTGAGCCAGGAAGAGGCTACTAAACCTGGGAGGGCCTTCGTAAGCAGCGTCTGTCTGGAGACAGTTGTTCCATTCCCTGTCAGTGCCCTGTTGGAGGTTGTACTGGGAAATAAAGGCTCAGTTGGTGCTCTGCTGGAAAAGCAGGGCACAAAGACAGGCTTTCCAAAGGCACAGACCATCCCATGGAGCAGCACTTACACCCAATTCAGTTACTCTTCAGCTGTGTACACAGCACCATCCGTGACATCCCACACGGCCCAAGGGTTCCCATTTTGCAGTCAGGAACAGCAGGGTGCATCTGCACACACAAATGAAGCACTGAGCTGCCCCTCACATGGGAAATCCTCTGTGGCTGGGCAGCTCCGGGCTGGAGGTACAAACCAGCCCCAAGGACACCCATTTACCCTCGAGCCTGTCCAGAGCACCTGGGTGTGCTCCCAAGCCAGCACAGCAACCATCCTGCTTTGTCAGTCACTTCCTCACACTACTGGGATTTTTGGAGAGAGGCCATGCCATCTCCCAGCTGCCTGTGGAAGCAGGACTGTCTTGTTTCAGGGAATGCTGATCCAAGAAGGTGCACTTGCTGTCGTTGTTCCAACATGGCAGGAAAACCTACGTTCCAAGGTAACTGCAGTCATGAACACGAGGAGAGGAGACAGGAGAGAAGAAGCCCTGGCTCAGACACGTCACATGTCACAACACACATCCCTGCCCCTGTGCAGGGCTGGCAGGTGGAAGCAAATGCACTGGGGCTACACTCCATTTGCCACTCTGTGCTCTTTTCAGATCCCGGGGAGACATGTCCTGCATTCACAGCCCTCGGCTTCTGGAGCGCTTTGATAGGGACAGAGCTGAAAGTGAAGCTGCTGCTCTACACCAGGCAGAACCCAACCTGTGCCGAGGAGCTCCACTCAACAGCCTCCAAGTACCTCAACGTGACCAAGAAAACCACCTTCATCGTCCACGGGTACCGGTTCACAGGCTCTGCCCCCGTCTGGATCCCCGACCTGCTGCACCTCCTGCTTTCTGCAGAGGACATGAACATCATCCTCGTGGACTGGAATCAGGGGGCAACAACCCTCATCTACAATAATGCTTCCAGAAAGTGCAAAAGAGTTGCTGAGATTCTGAAGAAACTTATTGATGAAATGCTGGTAAGTTGGACGTTCACACTATGATACAGTCATTAAGGCACAGTATGTAAAGGGCACAAAGGAAGTGTTTAAAACCAGCAGGATGTCTGGGAATAGAAACTCCTAAAAGGAATACATTAATTTTTGCAGCTATCCTGCAGTGCCAAGTTGTACCCTTGGACTTGGTACGATGGTATTTTGTTGCAATATTCAGTTTACACTCTGTCTCTCCATTTCTGGGTACAAAACTCTACAGACATGTTTTCCCACACACAGAAACTTTTACTTCCACTTTCTGTACGTCCAAAAATCAATTTAAGGGGATCAGCTACAGTTCACAGTTCCCCTAAGCTGTTGCACAAGCAATGAAAACACTGGATCATTAAGATCATGGTGTCTGCATGGTGTCTGTTTCCTTGCAGAAACCACATGTGGGCCAACTGGAATTTTACTCCTGGGGCCCATGAATAGTTTCTGTCTCCAGTGCCCCAGGAAAATACAGCCACTGCCTGAATTGTGTTCATCAGGTATGGGCCTCAAAGAGGGATGCTGGCTGCACTGTGGGACTATCAAAGGGGGAATATTTACACAGAGTGGAACACACCAAGAGAAAATGTGGGGAAAACAGCGAGACGCCTTTACATTCCTCCTCCTGATATTTTTTATGCCTTTCCTGTGCCTCAAATCTGTGACCATGAGTACTTTTAAATCTCAGATCAATGGAGCATCCCTTGGCTCCATGCACATGATAGGAGTGAGCCTGGGAGCACACATCTCCGGCTTTGTGGGACAGATGTTTGGTGGCGCACTTGGCAGAATCACGGGTGAGCCTTCCCCCGTCAGCCCTTTGGCCTCAAGGCCAGCACAGCACGAGGCAGTGCCACCCACGTGGCTTTGTTTTGCAGGCCTGGACCCAGCAGGGCCCTTGTACCGGGGAACCCCCCCCAGTGAGAGGCTGGACCCCACCGACGCACAGTTTGTCGACGTCATTCATTCCGACACCGACGGTACGTGACATTCCAGCTCTGCAGCTCCACGAGGAAACCCAGGGACTGATGGAGCATGGGAAAGCAGTGGTGTGGTGGGCAGCAGTGCCAGGACCTTTGCTCCTTTGGCCCAGGACAGCAGACTCCTTCGCTGGTGCTGGGAAGGACTCTGGGGTGCTCTGTTGCCCACACTGTCCTCAGCACTCCCTCGGGAGCTGCTGGTTTCTTTACACTTCAAAACTTGCTGCTGGATTATAGCAGTTACAGCCTGGTGGCCCATGAATTACAAGGACCTGGGCCCCGTGTGGGAGCTCCTGCAGCACACAGTCCTGCCAGAGCAGTTCCACACTAACGTCCCACCCCGGGCTCAGGCTGCACCCCAGCACATGGCATCTCCAAAGCTGGTCCCACAGCTCAGTGCCTTGCACAGCAGATCAGTTATCTCCAACCCATGGCTCCCTGCATGATGTTTCCAGTCTCCATCCCACCTCCTCTGAGCTAAACCTTCCTCTAGGGTGAATCTGGACTCTCCCTCAGCCCTATCCTTTCCCAGATCCACCAGCCAGGCCAGCCATGTGATGCCAGCCCTCCACTCTGCTCCCATGGGCAGCCTACCCCTAGCACCTGGCTTTCCCACCTCATTGCTTCTCCCAGCCCTTCCAAGAAGTCAAACTCAGCACCACAGCAACACCCAGGTTTCACACCCCTTTTCTTCTCCTGCACACAGTGACACAAAAACCTAAATTTTGCACTGTTGCACACACAGGCTTATTTTAGGTATTTGATACCATCACTAAAATGACCCAGCTGGGTCACAGCCGCCTGGCCTGCTCCCTAAACAGATGGATGGCATTAATATTCCTGCCCTAATGTTTATTCCCTTTTATCAGGACTAGGTTACAGAGAAGCACTAGGCCACATCGACTTCTACCCCAACGGCGGGACCGACCAGCCGGGCTGTCCACTGACAATATTTTCTGGTAATTAATCCTGCCTTGAACTGCACAAACCCTGACAAAACGTTTCCATTTTCTCCTCAGAAAAGGAGGAGGAAGCCAGAGAAACATCATCACTGCTTAGAAAAGACATGAAACCCATATTCTGGGAAAGCCACAGCAGCAACCTCTTCCCAGCACTGATGTGACAGAGGTTTAGCTCATGTGCGTGAGAGTCAGGGTGACCTTTCTGTGCCCCTGTCACAGTGCAAGTGGGATTAATTCTCTGTGCAAAAAGCCATCAGGTAGATTTGTACCTTTGTTTTGTGACTGCATTCAGAAAACCCGTGGGATTTTTTTGTTTTCAATTACTATGAACACACAAAAGCAGTGGCAAGAACCTGTCCAGGAAATGGGTTCAAGATGAATGTGGAGCAGGCAGTTAGACCAAATCTTGCACCTTCCTTGGCAGTGACTAACAGTGCAGTCTGGAAGGTAAAGGCCTAGTCTTGAATCAAAGAAAGCTTTTTTTCCTTTCAGCCTGGCATCTGAACTGGTTTGATGAAAGCTGGGTGAAAAAGATACCTCACAGAAGAAAAGGCAGCTTTGTGAACTCAACCCTTATCATACCTGAGAGAATCTACACAGGAAAACAGCCTGAACCAAAAATCCCTAGGATATGAGGCTTCACTCACTTTGCTCCTCATGCAACAAGGCATTTTATTAGTTTGGGCTTTCTAAAGAGTTTTTTTACACCAAAATGGAAGGTCATGTGCAAAACTAAAAGCAATATCCAGCTGTCAGGCCTGAGCTCAGAGAGGAAAACACCTGACATGGAACTGGATTCATATTTGGATCCTCTGGAACTGCAGCAGCCATACAAACAAATATGTTTTTAGAACCAAAAAGACAAGAAGAAAAGCAAGCCAGACAGGCAGAGCTGAGTGCAGACAAAGGGGGAGGCTGGTGCCCACTTACTGTTTTGCCACAGCCCAGTGCTCCCCAGTGCAATCCCCTGGGTCCAGACTGGTCAGGGACTGTCCACAGCTGTGTCCTGTGGGCATTAATCCTGTTTTCCTGATGAGTGAGGGTTCCTAACAAAATATTTCTTCCCTGTGTATGATTAAGGATTGCAGTATTTTAAATGTGACCACCAGAGGTCTGTTTTCCTGTTCCTGTCCTCCCTGACACGGAGCTGCAACATCACAGCGTATCCCTGCGACTCGTACAGGAATTACAGGAACGGCAAATGTACCAGCTGTGAAACCTTCTGGCCTATGCCATGCCCCATCCTAGGTAAGGATCCAGGGAATGTCAGACCATCCTGAACACAGAGCTTCCTGTCATCACTGTAACTTGTTGTGTGATGTTTCGCTGAAGGACCAACACAACACAGTGCTCTGCAAAATCATCGAAGTTATTTCCACTGAGGTTTTTGAGGCCTCCCCTCGGCTTCAAAGAGGTCTGAGAAACCTCCCTGTTCTTTGTACCATCACATCACATTGTGATCTAGAACAAAATTCACAGGTAAAGGATCCAGAACTAGGAAAGCCAAAACAAGACTTGGGATCTTTACACTACAGTCACGGAAACAATGAATTAAAGTCCTTTAGTTGCAGGGTTTGAGAGAGAGGGGCATGTTCTTGCTAAAACAGTATTTTCTAGTAAATTCCCAGCACCACAAACCTCTCTGTTCTCTAAAAGGAATGGCAGAGGGGTGAACAAAGGGGATTCTGGACCCACAGAGGCATCCCAGCCTGGGTGTGACAGCCCAGCATCAGGCTGCCAGCTCTGGAAGGTTGATGCTGAAACACCTGACACTTCCAGAAAGGAAGTGGCAAAGCCAAGGGGATGATTTGCATTCTGCACTGAATGAAATCCTCCTTGACCATGGATAGCAGGTGTGGAAGAAGATCAGCCTTGAAGTACGTGCTGAACAGTAGCCAGGCATATTTAGTCCTAAATCTGCAGAGTACAGGAGCTTGTGTCACACTGAGACCTGGCAGCTGGCAAACAATACACTATTTCTTAAACACTTGCTTATTTTCAGCCATTTAGTTGCTCATCTACCTGTGCAGTAACTGTGTTTCATTTTCAAACTGTCACCTGCAGGTTATTATGCCCATGAGTGGAAAAGCTATTTAACACAACAGAGCCATCCAGTGACAAGGATGTTTTTCGATACAGGGGACAAAGAGCCATTTTGCAGTAAGTGACTGAGATTTCCGAGACGATTTGTCTTTTTGCATTGCCTCCTTCAGCAGCAGCTGAGCAGAGATGGTTTGGTCATAGCCAGCATTTTAGAAACAATGCCAGTGGCTGCTGGTCAGAACTGTGTCCAGCTGCAGTTTGCCATGACATTCCTTATCTGCAATCCTGCCCGGTGCTGTGAAAGCCAGCTTGCTTACAGTGCTAGGAAACCGGTTGAGAACTTGCAAATTAAATATAAAAGTTCCCAAACCGAGTTTCAAAGCAACACACACTCTTTTGTGAAAGGAAGAGGTGTGGGGGAATGGTGGGAGACAAAGAGAGGCTGTGCAGGTGAAAAAGCTACCCCTGGAGAAAAGCAAGAGGTAAAGGGAAAGGGGGAGAATTAATGGAAAAAAGGGTGTCACCGAGGTTTCTCCTCTTCTCTGTGATCACCAAAATAGCAAGGCATGGGCAGGGATTATGGCCTGAGCTCCAGAGCTGGTCAGCAAGTGAATTCAGACTTACAGATCAAAGAATTGTGCTCCGTGATAGGGATTACAAATGACAGATGCTGAGAACAAAAATGGAGGGGTTCCAAATGGGACAGGAGAAAGAAAAGAAAAGGAAAGGCAACCTGGAAGTGAAGGGGGAAGGCAGGGTGTTAAAGGGGGTGTGCTTAGAGTCATACAGAGAGGCCATCCTGCAAGGATAACCCTTTCTGTAGTGCTTTCCTGACACCTCTTAGTGTTTCTGTTAAAAAAATCTCTGCTAGGAGGGATGGAGAGCAGGGAGGAGAAAGGGATTTTGGAGAGAAATTTGAAGGGGTTATGTCCATCCTCCATCTGCAGCTCCACTCCCAGACAGGCACACAGTGGCTCAACAGCAGTGATCCTGCCAGATCTAACCACACTTGTTCTCTCCCTCCCCTCAGTTTATCACTACTCTGTGGATATTATCACATGGAACAAAGACACCAGGAGAGGTACGTTCAGCATCGTCCTAGCTGATGAGACTGGGAAGAAGGCAGAAACCAAAGTTAATCCGTAAGTCTTACTGATCTGATAATGTGTAAATGCCAAAGAATCACTTGGCACAACTGCAGCTTGCACAACAGCAAGACATCCTCCTCCATATCCCTGCTGATACCTGCCAGTGCACATGCCTATGGGATTTCCCAGCCCGATGGAATTTCCACAGCCTCCCCCAGCACACACCACCTGACAGCCCAGCACTGTGATTTGGGCCCTTCTCATTCCTTTTAAGGACTGAAGTGGACAATCCCAGCCAGAAGCACAGCTGCCCCTAGGTTTCCACTAAGGCAGAAGGAAAAGCATCTCCCCCTCTTTCAATCCCCTCCCAGGAGTGTTCTGCTCCAGCTCCCAGTGCCCAAGACAGCTGGGATGAACCTGGGCCTGAATATCTCACATCCAAATCAACTCGTTCTGTTCAGAGAGGCAAATTAACAACTGGTGTTTATATAACATGCAAATTCTTGATTGATCTAAACACACTTCAGCCAAACAATCCTGCTCAACTAGTTTTCCCAAGTATCTCTAACTGCACATTCCCTCAGCCATATCTGGGATCTGCTTGCAGTGGAGCAATCTGCATCGCTCCTGCACCAAGAGCAGTGCAGATTTCATGCCTGTCTCAGTGACTCAGTGTTCAGGTCTGCACAGCCAGCCACGTACAAACATCACCTGGATCCAGTCCACTCGGGATCAAAGCAGAATCACGGAGAGGATTCTGGTTTGGGACAAACAATATCAGACCTCTGTGTCCCCACTCCCACCCCAAAGAGCTGAGTGCCAAAGTGGCTGAGCAGGTTCACACCTGAGGGCCTGAATCCACACCCACCTTCTGTAAATCAGAAACTAATCACTAATTGTGCCCTCCTCCCCCAGCTCTGCTACTAATGTTACACTGAATACATTAAACCTGGAGCTATTCCCTTGGGGATTCTGACACTCTGTCTGCTTTACCTTCAGAGAAGCTGCCACCTTCCAGCAGTACAACCAAATTACTTTGCTCACGGGATTTGACCAGGATCTTGAAAACGTAGAGAAAATTTCCTTGACATTTTCCACAGGATCTGTCATTGGCCCAAAATTCAAACTCAGGATTCTCCAAATGAGGTTCCAGTCACTCACAAACCCAGAAAGGTGAGCAGAGCTCTACAAACAAACCATTTCTATTGTTGTAGACTGGACAGAAGCAAATGAATCTCCCAGACTGCTGGCCTGGCTGAGTTTGTGCAGAAGAATTAGATTTGATTTCACATTTAATAATTCTCATACACATATCATGGGAATAGAATCCCACAGCTGAATACCTACTTGAACACAGAGGCTGTCTTATCATACTGAAAACATGCCACTGGTGACGTGACTCTGATGTGGTCTGACATCTTGACCTTTGGTCAGGAAAATGACCTTTGAGAAGCTGCCCAGGCCTGAACTCCGGGCTGAAGGGAAATGCAGCTCTCAGGGAAGCAGAGATGCCCAGCCCCAAATGCACATTTTATATCCCAGTCAATTTCTATGGACAGTCAAGCAGGGAGATTATTTTACTCCTGGAATTCCAGCGACTGGGAGCTGCTGGCCACTCTGCCCAAAGCCCTGACTGCTGCCCACAACACCATGAGGTACCTCCCAGAGCACTGCTGGTGATATTTCTCCAGCTGCTTCAGTCACCTCTTTAGCCTCTGTCTGCTCTGCAGTCCTACCCCTAAGCTTCCCTGATTCCTAGGGCACCTTTGGAGGATGGAATCTCTGCCTGAGCTCAGCAAGCACAGAATCTCTTAGGCTGACTTTTTGTGCAAAAACACCATGTGGACATCAAGCCAGGCCATGCTTTAAGTTTGGGTTAAAACAAGGGCTGCATATCACAGAGCGAGGAGGGTGAAGCAAAAATATTCAGGACTTTTAACACATTAAGTAATCAGTCACTGCCAGGGGAGGGATGCTCTTCCCTCCCTCCTCCCCTCTTCCAGGGCTAATGCTCATGTTTTCCCAGTGAAAGCTTAAGTATTTCCTCTGGTTTTTGGCTGGACTAGCTCCAGGCCAGATCAATGCCTGGTCCCAGCTCAGAGCAGCAGCAGAATTCCTCATGCTGGGAGCAGCAAAGCAGCAGGACCAGGCAGGTGAGCTGGAAGGACCACCTTTTTTGGTGGACACAGAGGTGTGGACTGGTTTAATGGGAACCATGGATCTGCAGGCAGTGCCTGTTTGCTGGGGCTTTTTGCATTCTGTTTTTCTCACAAGCAAAGGATCACGTAGAACAGAAGAGAAAAACGCTCAAGGTATCCCTGGCCTTGGTAAGGCTTAAGACAACCTCACTCACTTTAGGTGGACTAGGAGCTAGTTCTCCTGAGAACACGAGTTATTTTACATATGCCCCCAGCACAAGGCGAGACTCAACTGGAGGATGACAGGGGGAAAAAAGCCTTTTTTCACTTTTGGCCCGTGTTTTCACACAGACCCCAGCTGTGCCGATACGACCTTGTGCTGATGGAGAACACTCAGAGAACCTTCAAGCCCATCCCGTGCTGAAGCCGAGACCCGAGGACGCCGTGTCTGGGCGGGGCAGGGACATTTCACAGCCGTCTGGGGACTCACCTGGCGCTCCCGGGACATTTCACAGCCGTGTGGGGACTCACCTGGCGGTCTCGGGACATTTCACAGCCGTGTGGGGACTCACCTGGCGGTCCCGGGGCGCCTCCTGTGCGGACCGGGCAGCGGGGCCCGCTCTCCACGCAGGGCGTACAAAGGGGCTGTGGGAGCGACAATAAAACAACGGCAGCGCGTGGGTTTAAAGCGCGTGCTTAAAACGCAGGTTTAAAGCGTGTGTTTAAGGAGCGTATCCGCGCTGAACCGCCTTTGAACCCTGAGGGGTGCAGGGTCCCTCCGAGCCCTCGCGTGTCCCCTCAGGGGCAGCCCCGCCCGCCAGCCCCGCCCTCAGGGGCGGCCCCGCCCCGCGCCTGCGCGCCCGTCTCGGGGCTCTGAGGGCCGGCAGGGCCGGGCCAGAGCGGCGGCAGCGGCGGCTCCGACCCGGGATGTGGCGGCGCCCGGCCGGGCTCCTTCTCGTCTTCGCGGCCGCCACGGCCGCGCTGTGGCTGCTGTCGGTGCGGCTGAGCGCGGGGCAGACGCGCAGGTGGGTGCGGGGGGCCGGGGCTGCCCGTATGTCCCTCTGTCCCGCCGGGGCTGCCCCTGCGTCTCTCTGTCTCTCCCCACCCTCCCCGACACCGCCCGTGTCTCTCCCCCCTCAGGGCGCTGCGGTTCCCGGCGGACCTGGAGGAGCTGCGGGATCTGGCCGAGGCGCTGCGGGACTACGAGCGGCAGCACCGGGGCGCGGCGCTGGCGCTGTTCTGCGGCGCTTACCTGTACAAGCAGAGCTTCGCCATCCCTGGCTCCAGCCTCCTGGTACGGGCACGGGGGGCAAAGGGCGAGGCCGGCGAGCCACGGCTCGGTCAGGAGGGGCCAGAGGGACCGGCCCGGCCCTGCAGCCGGGGAGGAATAACCCCCTGTACCAGCACAGGTTGGGGGATGCCCTGGCAGAGAGCAGCTCTGCGGGGAAGGACCTGGGAGTGTTGGTGGGTGACACGTTGGCTGTGAGCCGGCAGCCTGCCCTGGGGGCCAGGAGGGACAATGGGATCCCGGGGGGCATCAGAAAGAGTATAGCTAGCAGGTCAGGGAGGTCATCCTGACCCTCTGCTCAGTCCTAGTGAGGCACATCTGGAGTGCTGTGTCCTGTCTGGGCTCCTCAGGTCAAGAGAGACATGGAGCTACTAGAGAGGGTCCAGTGGAGGCCACAAAGATGATGAGGGGTCTGGAGCATCTCTCTTTTGAGTGGAAACTGCCTGTTTAGTCTGGAGAAGACTGAGAGGGGATCTCATTAATCCATATAAATATCTCCAAGGTGGGTGCCAAGAGGACAGTGCCAGGCTCTTTTCGGTGGTGCCCAGTGACAGGACAAGGAGCAAGGGCCACAAACTAAAACATAAGAAGTTCCACCTCAACATGAGGCAGGAGGGTGGCAGAGCACTGGAACAGCTGCCCAGGGAGGGCACAGAGTCTCCCCCTCTGGAGACATTGCAAACCCACCTGGACACGTTCCAGTGTCACCTGCTCCAGGTGACCCTGCCTTGGCAGAGGGGGTTGGACTGGATGATCTCCAGGGGTCCCTTCCAACCCTGACTATTCTGTGACACACTGTGCCCCACTCCCTGTTGTCCCCACAGAATGTCCTGGCGGGAGCTCTCTTCGGGCCATGGATGGGGCTGGTGCTGTGCTCGGTGCTCACGTCAGTGGGAGCCACCCTGTGCTACCTGCTCTCTGCTGCCTTCGGCAAGCAGCTCGTCGTCCACTACTTCCCTGAGAAAGTGGCTCTGCTGCAAGGGAAGGTAAGAACTGGTGCTTCTGCAGACACCCAGGATGTCCATGGGTCAGGCTGCTTTTGGGATGGCTTAGTAAAAATGAATGTGTGCAGGGGACACATCAGGTCTGCTAAGGGCACGGTCTAGGAGCAGGCTGCTCTCTTGGGGCAAGCCTGTTTGCAGAGGGGCTGTGGGGAAAATCCCAGATCCCAAGGAACATCAGAAGTAAGACAAGGATTGATTGGGAAGTCCCTGTTCTCCAGAACCGCCTCCATCCGTCCTTTGCTGAGTTGTACAGCTGGAGGTGGTTCTGTTGTTGCCTTCCTGATCTCTAATTCAGGTGAGATCCCAATTCCATCACTTCCTTGGAACAGGCTGGCTCACCCTTACGCTCCCACACACACATAACGTTGCTGCTTTTCATCAGTTCTGGACTGATGTTGTGGCAGAAGCATCGTGGCCTTTCCAGTGTTACTGCTGTCTGAGGAGCAGAAATAATGTGAAACGTTTCTCTTGGCAGGTAGAAGAGAACAGGAGCTGCTTATTTTTCTTCTTGTTGTTCCTGAGGCTGTTCCCCATGACACCAAACTGGTTCCTGAACCTCTCGGCTCCCATTTTAAACATCCCCGTGTCCCAGTTCTTCTTGTCCGTCCTCATCGGTAAGGCCTGGGGACACAGTCTGAGGGGACAGTGTGACACTGCTGCTCATCAGCGCTGAGCCCAGGGAAGGCAGAGCAGCAGGACTCTGCCCCATTTAACTGTTTGCCTCTGTGCTGCCCTGAGGTCTCAGAGCATTTTGCAAATATGTGTGTCCCCACATGCTGCAAATCTTGATTTACACCTCGTTCTTTCTGTTATAAGCACAGACCCTTGTGTCTGTGTAAGGGCCATAAACTAAACCACAGCAAGTTCCACCTCAACATGAGGAAGAACTTCTTTCTATGGAGGGTGGCAGAGCACTGGAATAGGGTGTTCAGGCAGGGTGTGGAGTCTCCCTCCCTGGAGACATTCCAAACCCACCTAGATGTGTTCCTGTGTCACCTGCTTGAGGTGACCCTGCCTTGGCAGGGGGGGTTGGACTGGATGATCTCCAGAAGTCCCTTCGAACCCCAACCATTCTGTGATTTTGTGTGTAGCCTTGGGCATATTTGAGCTAATTTTCCCTGGGGGGATGCTAACAGCTTTTTTCTGCTCTGATTCTTTCAGGCCTTACACCATATAATTTCATCTGTGTGCAGACAGGGGCCATTCTGTCCCAGATCACCTCTCTGGATGCCATTTTCTCCTGGGACACGCTGCTCAAACTGCTGGCAATGGCCATGGTAGCCCTGGTACCAGGGACCCTCATCAAGAGATACAGCAAGAAGCACCTGAAGCTGGATGGAGACAAGCAAACTCAGACACTCAATGGCAAAAAGAGTTTCTGATGGTTCAGGTGCCCCAGTTTTGGGGTAAAAGCTGCAGGTCTCTGCAGGGGGTTATATTCTGCATGCTCTGTGCCACCAAGGACAGTGGCAGTTTTTAATTGTCCTCCTCATCTCAGAGGAGGTGTAAGATTCTTATTTTTGATGAATGTTTACCTGTGCATGTACCTGCACAGAGAGAGCGATACAGGGACTTTGTGAACAGTTGGTTAATGTGCCTGTTTCGTTTAAATCATCCCCTGTGTGCCTGAGGGGGTGCCCAGCCCACTGCCATGGGGACAAAAGGAGTGTTGGCATCCTGTGAGGAAGGCAAACCAGAACCCCTTAATCCTGCCCAGCACAGGGAGGCCAAGCACTGCCCTGGAGGCAGGCCCTGCTCCCTCCAACCCCAGACTGATTTAGCATTTTTGGCCTAAAATGACAAATGGTGCTGTTGGGTGCAGTAGCACAAGCCCCAAGCTGAGAAAATAATGGTCTTTCAAGGTGCAGCTGTTGAAGACTCTTCTTTGATTCCAGTGTTAAACCAGCACACCCTGCAGCAAAATGCTCAGGATTTGGGCTGCCTGTGTGTACCAGTCGTGTCAGAACACACAAGATTGCTTCCCCAGTCTGTCAGTGGCTGCTACTCCCCATAAAGACTGAAGGGGAAAAGAAAAGGAATGGATGTGCCTGGCTGACAGGGATTTGTCCCTGAGAAGCACTTTGAAACCTACATATTTGCTCCTGTATAACTAGAAGGTTTCCAAATAAACAAGTGGGTTCTTGTCCCAGTTGCTGGAGAACATAGAATCCAGGATGGTGTGGGTTGGAGGGGATCATAAAGATCATCTCATTCCACACCCTGCCATGGGCAGGGACACCTTCCACTAGGCCAGGTTGCTCCAAGCCCTGTCCAACCTGGCCTTGGACACTTCCAGGGATGGGGCAGCCACAGCTTCTCTGGGCAACCTGTGCCAGGCCCTCTTCCCCCAGGGATTATACTCTGGTCTTGGGGTTTTGGTATTTGCACCTCCTTGCTCTCCCTGAGTTTCCCCTCCTCTTGGAGGATAAAGTAATCTTCCTGCCGTGGAAGGGGGCAGATAGGAGACCGCAGAGCAAGGCTTCATGACGTTATCCCAAAGTCCATAAGAACCCCTTCCCAGATCACCAGACCAGCCTGCAGCATTGAAGTACACTGGCTTTTTATTCCATGCATTGTTTGCTTTGATAGTCATTCTTGTTTCCATCACTGTACACTGGTCAATACAAAAAAAATCAAGTTTGTCTCAGGAATCCACAGAGCAGGGAGGAGGGGATGAACACTACTGGACAGGGCCAAGATGAAATGGGTACTTAACACGACAGTGGGGAGGGCGACATTCAGCTCTGGGAGAAAATCTAGGCTAGTGTTCAGGAGCTGTCAGCAGCCATGAGAACTGGGTCAGGGAACTTGGGGTGCTGGAAAGGGAACCCACGGGTTACTCCTGCCCTGCGAGCGCGGTGTTACTACGAGGAGGAAGCAGGTCCACTACACCTCCCAGACCCTGCTGGGAGGGAAAGTGTGAGGAACCGCAGCACAGGCGCCCGTACAGTGACGTGGAGGTCACAGGTCACGTCTGTGCCATTCCAGGGAGGTTCCACTAAGGAAATCCGCCCTAACGCCCTGCAGAATGGACGGTGACCACCCCGGGAATGTGGGCGGTGCTGAGCCAGCCCTGCCCACACACAGCTGAGCACGAGAGATGTGTGTGCAGGGCAAGGCTGGGGCGGCACCTCCACGGACTGGGGCAAGGGGGGCTGCCCTAGTGGCATTTCCAGAGGGATGCTGCGTTGGAGGCAGCAGGTAGGAGGAGTGACACTGGACCATAAAAGTGCAATGACCTGGGTGTGTGAGGAAACTAGAGCTAAATGTGGCAGCCTGGAGGGTTCAGCTCTGCTTGCCCAGGCTGCAGAACAGGCCAGCACATCCCCAGGCAAGGACGGGGAGGGATCAGCACACACCTAGGACAGCTGGTCCATAAGGGTCTCAAAATCCCACACCCCAAAGCTTCTCTGCGAGCCCAGAGGAGCTGCATCCCACGGTGGAACCTAAGCAGAGACCACAGGTACCCAAACCCCTCTGGGATCTGTTTGACTGGGACTGAATCGTCACAGGCTGGAGGCCCTGCAGAGACTGACAGGCCTGAGCAGGAGGCAGCTCTGCTTTGGGGCTGTTGTGTGGGGCTGCCCAAGGACACCGGGCTCAGGGAGCCTGCCAGCTCTGAGCAGAGTCTCCCCAGGGGCACAGGCCTTCCATCCTCTGCTGGGGGACACCCAGTGGCAGTTCTCAACCTCTGTTTACACCATAGTATGTTACATGCACATAGTTCTCCCACTGCTAAATTCCCACACCTCGGCCTCCAGCCTCCTGAGTAACCATCTGCACCACCTCTGCCACACCAAATCCCTCTCACACCAATCACCTCACAGCAAAGCCACCTCTGGCCCTGCCACCTCCTCCTGCTGCTGGCCAAGAGACAGAGAACGTCTGGGAGGAGAAACGAGGGATGGGAAGGGAGAGGAAACAAGAAAGGAGCCAGGAAAGAGCTTCACTCCCCAGGGCATTGTGCCTCCGCCCAGAGCCAGCCTTGCTGCTGAGGGCAGGGTGAGCAGGTCGCTCCCTCTCCAGCAGCCTGTTTGGTCCTGCCAGGGTGATCCACCATGTGGATCCACTGCTGGCCACCCTGATCTCGCACCTGCTGCCTGGAGCAATGTCCTTTGGGATGCTCTTGCCAGGGGATCTCGTCACAGTTACTCATTTTGTGGTCAGTTCAAAAGCCACTCACTCCCTGATCACCGTCCCCACCAGTTCAGGGGCTGACAACTACCAGCAACGTGAGCAAAGTGCCCACGAAGAACCTCACACAGGGCTGACTGCAGCCATCCATCCCTCTCTGTGCCCTCTCCTGGAGTAACAGCATCCCTGGAAATCACGAGAGGCAGCAATTCCTGACAGCCACTGAGCCCAGCTCTGCTCCCGCCCCCTCGGTGACCAGGGAGAAGGTAACATCACACAAACAGATTACAATTGTGCTAGCGGTGAAGCCAACCTTCTGATCTACAGAAATGATAATAAATAATAAAATAACATCATAACTTAAGATCTGTCTGTAGTCCAGCTACAAAAATTTAAAAATATGGGATAATTTAACTCATACAATACTGCTCTCTGTATAGGTAAGACATTTTCCTTCACTTTGCCATGAGGCTATAAATTACCACAGTTAAATTCAAACCAATATTTTAACATAAAATGTAAACAAACAAAGCAACAGAAGTACCTGTCCATGGTCCATTCCTGCCGTTCACCTCAGGCTGGCCGTGCCAGCACGCTGGGAAGGGCAGAGGGAGAGCTCTTGCAGGGGGACATCAACTAAGGAAGGGGGGGGAACGTGCTCTATCGTTTTGTTCTCTTTCAACATTGTTTTAGAAGAGTAGTGTTTGAAGGGAAGGCACTATGAGTTCTATCAGAAAACAAATTTTTCTCATCTGCCAATGCCTCGGCCTGTCACATACCAGTACTATCCTCACTTTCACCTGCAGAGTTTCAGCTTGGAGGAGAAACAGAGGCCTCGGGGCACACCCGAGACACAGCTATGCCACAGCCACTGTCAAATTCCCTGTGCAACCTGTTTTGCACAAAGCCTGACATGAAGGGCAGGCAGCTGCTAACGCTTCCAAGAATGTACAGTGAATAAGGAGACAGAGCAGGGCTGATGCTCTGAGCCAGGCCAGTGATTCCCAGTCTTCCCCCTCAACACACAGCTCTCTGCTGGTTATCAATGCTGCTGTAGGTGAGAGGCTGCTTCTCCCAGTCCAGTCCAGGCGTCTCCAGTGTCCTCCCCAGAAGGGCTCGGGCTCTGAGAAATGTGCTTTCCACGCTTTGCAAGTCCTTGCTTTGCCAACACTGATTGGATTGATTTCTTTGACTGACTGAAACAGACAGGAGGTAAGAGGAGGAAGTAAACTGGGAAATGGCACACTGCATCTGAAAGAGGTTTCCCTGCTCAACTGGAGGTCGACACTGCCACAGTGAAGCAAGGACGGTGTTAAGAAGTGCTCTGATACCAGTTCTCGAGAGGATGAGGTTAGAGTACATTTGCAGGATCTCACAACAAAATGCTGATTAAAAAAAGAAACTAAAAATCCTTAAAATAAAACCCACTATTACATTCCTGGGGATGTATTGACTCAGAAGACCCTGGATGTTAGCACCTCAGTACCAGTTTGCTCCAGGAACATGTCCTCCTTCTGATTAAAAATGACCCAGCTGGTTATACTGAAAATGCTTTGTTCACAGGTCACCCTACAGTCAGGTCGTTTTCTGCTTTTCCTCTTTTGATAAGACTGAGTGGTTTAGTTTTCTTGATCTGTTCTCCAATCTTCAGGGCCACGAGGCCTGGTCCCCTGTGCAAGCAGCAAGAGAATCCCCTGCATCTGTACACAAAGCTGTCCAGGCAGGACTCCCAGGATGTTTCTCTGTAGTGTGCTTGCTTTCTGAACTTTTTTTTTTTTTGCAACAAGTCTGTATGTCTATAAATACAATCCACTCTTTACAGTAAAAAGTGTTAAAATGTCAAAAAAATAAATATCCATGTTACAGTAACTAGATTATTCAATAAAATACATCCCTGCCATTCTTGATTGAAATGCTCAAAGAGAATTAATTTCATTTGGACATTTTCCAGAGATTCGGGTTATTGCAAATCACTCCTGGGGTGGGAAGGAGAAGCATCTTCTCTTCCTGTAAAGTGTGATGAAGGGGAATGAAGTGGAATCTCAGGGAAATCAAAATGCCAGTATCAGGAAGCTTTGGGGGAGATCTGTATTACCAAGTAGCAGAGCTGCAGGGCTTATTGGTCCTGACTGTGGCATCAGAACACTCCCCTTCAGAAGAGTCACAGTCTGATTCTCCAAACTGTGGTGGGTTCTGCAAAGCAAAAGGAAAGGGGGAGACTTGAGCAACAGTCCTGTACTGCACGTCACCCACACCACCCCAGTGTGTAAGAGCAGCCAGGCAAAGGAGGAGGCTGGCACACAGGAGATGGCACAGCACACAACTGCCCTACCAAAGGTCACTTGTCTGTCCTCAGTGAGGGGACAGCAGAGAAACACCTGGGCAGAGCACTACCAAACACAGAGTTAGGAGGAGATGGTGCAGCAGGCTCTGCCCTACCCCTCCCAAACAC